AATAACAGAGCATTTGGAGAACACTCTGTATTACCTGTACCGTTTCATAATTTGAAGCAAGTATGAATTGAATGCAAATCCCAGAAACCTTAGTTCAATATGTCTGAAGAACATTTGAGAAGGCTTATTCCTGCTGGAATAATAAAAGAACTGCTGTAATTATAAAAATAAGACTATTACAACAGAGACAATTAAAAAGAAACAGCAGCTTACCTTGTATAAGCCATTTGTAAGATTTGATAGTGCCAGGCATGGAAAGAAAAGACTTTAGGAAGAAGGGAAAGACTAAGGAGATATATTTGCAGTTTCAGACTGAACTTTCCCCCCCCAAATTTTCTTGCAAATCTTGATAATCTGCATGGCCCCATCTAAACAGGAAGGGGCTGAAAGTCCTGCAGCTAAAAATTGCTGCAAGCAAGAACCAAGAAAAAAGAAAGCCATCACAGAAGAAATTCTGCATAGCCATAATCTGTAAAGGGAAACATTAGGGTGGGAGACTCTGGGAGACTCTGTTCTGACCCAAACCCTTTTCCAATAAAACAAAAACGAACCAAAGGGAAGAGAAACCTTTTAATGATTCTTACGAATCCCCGGTTAAAAGGCTGCTGCAAATTACTTAACTTTGATAAGCACAAGCCTCACCAAAACTATGCGAGGCTGCCAAGAATAACAGATAAGAAATAGTTTACAACACAAGAGTCTTCAAATGCCAACTTAAGATACTGCAATGTCCACAAGGCTGGAGTTTCAAAACGTTTTTGCTTCCTACAAAGAACGTTTGATTCACAGCTGGCTTTTATCTTCTTGAAGGAGGGGCCATTACCTTGCAGCCTTACTCCCGAGTCACCCGTGCTGTTGCAGCTGCTCTTTCCTATCAGCAGCTCTGTGCACACGCGCACTTGGCACAGGCTCCTCGGGAACCTCCTCATCGCTGCTGCCAGCCCCCACAATCTCTGAAGGCCGCAGTCCACTCCCCAATGGTCCTGGCTCCTCATCTGTGTCCTCACTCTCCTCAGCCATCTGCACCTACTGCCTGCTAACCACAACAGACTCAAAGAGGTTCAGAAAACGGCCAGCTCTTGGATTAGAACAGGGTTTCTCAACCTTGGCCACTTGATGATGTGTGGACTTCAATTCCTGGAATTCTCCAGCCAGCAGAACTAGTGGGGGAATTCTGAGAGCTGAAGAATCCTTACATCTTCAAGTGGCCATGGTTGAGAAACATTGTTTTAGAGCAGGGGTCTGCAACCTTAAACACTCAAAGAGCTATTTGGACCAGTTTCCCACAGAAAACACCAGGAGTCAATAATTTAACAACCGGTGTGACTGGGTGGGTGTGGCCAACTTGAAGTCACTTACTCCCCACACAGTCACCTCCTGCTGTGGAATATGGAGCAAGTCTCCATCCCCCGCCATCCCCCTTACCTTCTCAGGCCAGGCGAGGAGTGACGGGGAGGGGAGGTGGGATCCAACAGGGATCCACAACAGAGGGCTGAAAGAGCCACATATGGCTCCAGAGCCACAGGTTGCTGACCCCTGTTTTAAAGGAAGAAATGGATCCATTCTTAATCTTTGAAATCTGGTATTCCCATCCCATCCCTTCTTCACACTTGATCTCAAGAAACATTTATTGCATCTTCTTCCTTCAAGCACTGTGAAGACATTAAGACAGAAATGTACAGATCAGGTGCACGATTCTCCATTCAGTTGCATCACAGAGGGCTTTTATTTTAAGAATGGCTATATCCACAAAACCATGGCTGTTCTAGTCATGGATAAAAATCCCAGGGAATAGGAAAAGGGGTTGGGGCAGAGGTTTGCTAAGGAAAAGGCACTTTTTAATGAGATGTATTTTTAACCAAGCAGCATACATCTTGGAGGAGGAAGTGTTCTCCAAAGTTCTTCTGCTTCTTTATGTCAATCAGTTCCTTCTCTTGCTGGTGGCCAACAGTTGGAGACAATTGTCCCCAAAAGGAGAAAAGGAAAGTCAGGACTTTCTATTTCTGGGTGGCTATTTCTACTCCTCATCACTCATGGGGCTCATCCTTATGAGCCCCATTTTAATGCTGCTTTAGAATATGGGTTTAATGCTCTTCCAGAAGAATAAATCCACATTCAAAAGCAATTTGAAAATCAGCTGCCACACGTAGTTTTATTTATTTGTTAAATTTATATGCCACCCCTCTCACTGACAAGAGTTGAGCAGAGGATGAAGAGTGCAGCAGAGAGACACATTCCTCTCTCTCTCTCCTGCTTCAAAGTGCATCTTTGTCTGCTGCTATTGCTAGTCAGGGATTGGCTCACAGGCCTTGCGCGTACAATCGAAAAGCCCAGTTTGAAAGAACCAAACCCGTCTGCTGTCCAGATTAGGATCATCCTGGAAAGCTGCGCCTGGGGACTTGGCAGGAAGAGTAACACTCCTGTCAATCCTGAAGCTGACCTGACCGAAGTCATTTTGAGGCGTCCGTGTTGCCACACTGGAGCTGAGGGGATGCGGGGGGGGGGGGGGGGGTTGTAGCCAAAACCAAATCCTTTCTCATGGGAACCAAGGACATTCTCAGAAAGAGGAGGAAGGGCATTACCAGGCAATCAGATAGCATCATGATTGGACCATGTGATTGATTGTTTGGGGAAGGGGAAGAAACTTTTACTTTAATTAGGTAAAAACTGCAGGAACCTTCAGAGTCAGTTTTCACCGGAACTGGGCCAATGTGATATACCCAATAAAACTGTTCTTTGAGGAACCTACCTGCCTTGGGAGTTTTTCTTGCTATGGGTGGATTCCTTGGAAGCCTGACAACTGCACTACTTCAGATGGTCCAACAGGTGCTTGGCTGACCTCAACCCGTATACTATAGGTCAGCAGGAAGCACTCCTGACAGAATGGCTTGTGAACCATGCCGGGTTGCACCTACCTTACAATAAAACTACTGCATAAAGGAAGAAAACAACACTTTTACACTGGGCCACCTAAGGATGACTTTGTCGCCTGGAGGATGCATTGTGGAGAAGCTGAAGAAGGCTAGACTGCTACCAGTTCACACCGGTTCAGGTTAATCTTACTTCTGGTTTAGCAAACCGGTAGTTGCAATGACCGGCTGGCTCTGCCCACCCCTCACCTCCCAGGAGTCTCCATGTGGCCCATTTTGGATCCCAGGTAAGTGCAGGGCCCACACAGAGGCTAGGGGAGGGTGAAAAATGGGCCTTCCGGAGGCTCTGGAAGGTTCCGGAAGGCCTCAGGAGGCGCTCTGGAGGCCGGGGAGGGGGAAAACCAGTCTCCCGGAGGCTTTGGGAGGCCTCCGTTTTCGCCCTCCTGGAGGCTCAAGAAAAGCCTCTGGAGCCCAGGGAGAGAGAAAACAGGGCCCCCGCCCTGTGCAGGAGGCTGACTAGGCCATACCCACTATGGCCATGCCCGCCCAGTAACTGGGCAGAGAACTGGTTGCAAACATTTTTGAAGCCCATCCCTGAGCTGAAGGCAACATCATGAGGACACCGCAGAAAAAAGGATCTTGCGGGGGCATGATTTTGTCAGAGCTAAATGATAAGAAGGGGAAGTCTTGTGACAGGCAATCAGAGTCTCCTTCTAATGCCCCAACCAGAGTTTAAGTCTCCTTTGTAATCTCAGCAGCTGGCAACCGGCTACTTTGCAGATGTTCACCATGGCTCCATTATTCATACAGTCCAGCTTTGACTTTCTAGACAAAATCTGTAAATAAACCAGAATTCACACACAAGGATTCTTTTAGGCATCCTACGGGCTCCTATAGCTGCTAGAAGCAAATTCTCGCCTCCGTCAATAGCCCCTCACTTTTATCACCTCTTAATCAAAGGAGGAAAACAATCACAGAATCCAAATCAGTTCACTAGAAACAACCCAACTGTTTGCAGAAGAGACATAATAGGAGCAAGCATAACTGCTTAAAATCCTTGGCAACAATAAATAATGATCCCAGGGGAAGGAGCATCAATCAATAAATAATTTACATGCACGATTCACAGTGTTTGGCAAAGTGGCTAGGATTGAAACGCTCAGTCGTTGCTTTGGTTTCCTTCCTTACAGCAAAACTCATCAAACTTTGGAGAGGTACACACAAATGGCAACATGCTAACACACATACACATATATCAACAGCCCAAAGAGCAGCAGCAGCAGCAATAATCTTCTCCTATGCTCAAGGCCTTCATACAAATGGCAACCAAATATGACGTCCAATGTATTGATGTAGAGAGTGAAATGCCAGTCACTCCATCTGGAACACCTCTCTCTGCCCTTGAAAAGTAATCAGTGGCCTTAGGGTCCTGTAATGATGGCCTGAGTTGCAGATCCCTGGGTTGTTTTGCAGGGTCTATCTCTCTCTCTGCCATATGGAGGAGACACCAAAAGACATTCCAGCTTTTCCATGGGTGTGGCTTAGGAAGGGGAGGAGACCAAGAGGATAGGAAAGGCTGAGCTAGAATCTGTAACAAAAGGTCCAACTGGACATTAGTTCTGCGCAGGGGTGGGGTTCAAATTTTTTAACAACCGGTTCTGTGGGCATGGCTTAGTTGGTGGGCGTGGCTTGGTGGTCATGTTATTGGCTGGGTGTGGCCAACTCAATATCACTCACATCGAGGCACGCATCTCCTCGCCTGGCCTCTCATGACTGTGGGGATGCTGCAACAGTCGTAAGTGTGAAAAATGGTCATAAGTCACTTTTTTCAGTGCCACTGTAACTTTGAATGGTCACTCCACACAAGCAAAGTACCAGCAAAGGAAGGGAAAAAAAAAACTCCAGAAAAGTTCCTGAGACAGGAAGTCTAGTCCTGCCAAGAATGTAATAAGGGTTAACGGAGAGGCAGTTTCTGTAAGCAACACCAGAATGTTTCCTTCCTGCCTTCCTTACAGGATTGGGCCAGTAGTTTCTTCTAACAACCGGTTCTCTAAATGCTTAGAATGTTAACAATCGGTTCTAACGAATAGGTGAGAACTGGTAGAATCCCACCCCTGGTTCGGGGCCTCACAGGTGACAGGCCAGGACAACCATGGCAGGGGCCAGAAGAAGAGGAATGGTCTTCCTCAGAGCCTCCTCCAACCATGTCTTTGGAAGGCCATAAAGTCACACACAAGGTTTGCAGCAAAGTTGCGGTGGTTCAGATGGATCCGTCGGCCTTCTTGATGCTCATTCCACCTTCTTGGCTTTCCGTTTCCGGGTTCCTTCATTGAGCTCCTCCCTTGATTTGGCTGGCATCTGAGGTGGTGACAGAAGGGATGGCTCCTGAGATCCTCCATGAGGGTGAGGGTGGTGGTGGTGGTGGTGATGATTATCATGACTGGCAGAGCCAAAGAGGATGGGACACACCACATTTTCCAGAGGGGCAAGTGGGGACCCATGGGAGTGAGTTGCTGTCAGGAACACCTGAATGACAAGGAAAAAGCTCCATTAGTGGGTCACCAACTATGCCAAGTTTTCTATTGCTCAGGCAGCTACAATAAACCAAAGGGATTCCAACCTGTGTTTCTTCCCATTCCTCTTACCCCTTTTTACACCAAGGTCCGTACATGAATTTCCTGTCTTGGCCAATCAAGCCCTTTTCAATGAAGTTCTGGTGCTGCTTCTGTGGGGTCACCGCAATTCCAACCTAGAGTTACCAGGGCGTGTAGCTATACTGTTGAAAGGCTACTGGAAAGGTCTCCATTGTTAAGCAACCCAACCATATTTCTTATGATATACCAGCCAGGATTCCTTTGGTATCTCTGGAAATCCAAAACTTACCCTGAAGTGACTGAAGTGACTGATGCTAATATCATAATCTGAGTTCACGAATATGTTGGATGTCACTGTGGCTTCTACCAGTTGCTTCCAGGGGTAGGATTCTACCGGTTCTGTCCACCTCTGTAGAACTGGTAGTTCTGAAGAGCAGCAGACAGAGAGCACACATAGAACCGGTTCTATGTTTGCTGCTGTTTTTGCCCGCCTGCCTGCCCGCCCGCCCGGGCTCTTACTTGACCTTTATTTTCTGCTTTTTCAATCACAGCTGCTTTGCGTGACACAGCTGCGGTTGAAAAAGCAGGAAAAAAGGGCTTTTCCAACTGCTAGGCACCTGTGCGCAGCGCTGCTCAGCTGTCCGGGCAGCTCAGCAGGTCATAAATTGCACTCGTGTGACTTGCGCATGCGCGCGTGACATAGAGCGACAGAACCGGTAGTTATAGCAGTTGGATCCCATCCCTGGATGCTTCTGTTAGTCCATAGTGAGATTTGTTAGCTTTGACTTGGGGAAATTGTGGGAAATATCTAAACCATAGTGAATAGAATAGAACAGAACAGATCTTGGAAGTCTTCTAGTCCAGTCCCCTGCTTAAGCAGGAGAACCTATACCATTTCAGATACGTGATTGTCCAGTATTTTCTTAAAAACTTCCAGTGATGGAGTGCCCATGATTTCTGAAGGCAAGCTGTTCCACTGGTCAGTTGTCCTCACTGTTAGGAAGTTTCTCCTTAATTCCAGCTTGCTTCTCTCTTTGATTAGTTTCCAACCATTGTTTCTTGTCCTGCCCTCAGGTACTTTGGAGAATAATTTGGCTCCCTCTTCTTTATGGCAGCTCCTGAAATACTGGAATACTGTGCTCATGTCACCCCTAATTCTTCTTTTCTTTAGACTAGCCATCACACTAAAATAGCTTAAGGACTGTAGTTTATTCAACTAACCATGGTTTAATACAATGAATGAGTCCAGGGTCTGAGGCCTTTCTTGCCTTTCTGAAGATCTTCTAATGAACAGAAATGGATTTGGCTCCTTCCTCCATTCAATCCACCCAACTGCTTACATTTGCCCCCAGGCAGAGGAATTTACCTTGCAGATGATCATAAAAATAGTGAAGAAGAAGATGAGGGTAGCTTTGGAGATGGGAAGCCACTGGGTTTGCTGAAGGGTGAAGAGCAATGCTCCATACAGACTGGCTTTGGATGGACTGCAAGAGAAAAAAGCCTTCATCAGAAGCACAGCTGGGATTCTATCTCAAATAAATAAATAAATCCAAATTTTAGAGAAAGGACATGATTTTCGGAGGGACTGCTGCAATGGCCATAAGTATGACAAACTGTCATCACTTTTTCAGTGCTTTGTAATTTTGAATGAACACTAAAGGAAAGGACTGCCTGGATTCTCGAAAACCACCCGTGATGGAGAACCCACATCCTCTCAGGCGGTGAAAACACTCTGAGTTCTGGAAATGCCCTATCAAATTTTTACTGATATTTCTCATTTCCATTGATCATCAGATTCCTTCTAGGTCAATTAGAACATGATTGATCTTTATCCAGAAGACACACCAGTACAAAAACTCTGGCTTCTCTACTCACAAAGTCATATGAAGGAACTCATTTGTTTCTGGCTTCCAGACGCCACGCAGCAATTGCTCAAAGTTGGACATCAAGGCAACTCCAGAACCTACGAACATAAAGATGGTAGCACACTTGTAAACAGACCAGCGATGAGAATGCGGGCAAGTAGAATTCCATTTTCCTAAACTCACTGATAATCCCTGTCGAAGTAAGTAATCTAACACAGGAGAGAAATATTGAGCATTTTTGTGGGGATGCTCTCAGCCACAACAGCTTCTTTAAGGAAATGGCAATTATACTGATTATTATGAATAATAAAAGTGATGCCGGCTTCTAAGTTTACTATTGAAAAATTGAAACATATGATAGCGATACCACAGCCCCCTGCCTTAAGTTTATAGAAGTTTGATTATTCTATTTTCTGGTTGCTTTGAATCAGCGAAAGAAAAGCAGTACAGAAAAATGTAAAAACAACCATTTGGAATTTGTACTATTTTGAATCCAAACAGTCTTGACCTCACAGGATTTTAGTGTGATGGAGGCTGCTTCAATTATTTTGGAAACACAGCAGGTTAAAAGCACTTCTGTTTCCAGATCACAACCAGAATAATCAAAACAATTGTACCATAAAATAATGGCTTAGAACTCAAAACAAGGCAACACAAATTATTTGAATTTGAAACAGCATGCACAAATCTTTGTGTAAAAAATAAGAAATACACAAGCTTTGTCCAGTGTCTTAAAACTTTAACTGTGGCTTGATAATAGAGCACTTATTTTTCATTTGAAAGATCTTGGGCTTGATCTTGATATTTCTAGCTAAAATAAGATGCTAGAGAGAGGCTACGAGTCACAAGAGAAAGCATTGAAGGACAATCTGGTCAGATATAAAACAATTCTCTATACCTAAAATGCCCTTATGACAGAAGCATTCCAGGGAAGAGAGTTAACTTGGTGAAATTTCTAGCCTGACAGACGAAAGTATTTATTAGCAGAAAAGGAACATGATTTATTCCTTTTTGGTTCAATTTTCAATTTTCAGAAGGGAAAATGTCTATGAGTGGTAACAGATGCTTCAGCCATGAACCTCGGTGTGATCTCTATCATTTCAGCATCTAGAAGTCTGAGGAAAGTTCCACTGGAAAAGTACTTTTGCCTATGTAGAATAGAATAGAATAAGGATCTTCAAACTTCGCCAGTTTAAGACTTGTGGACTTCAACTCCCAGAATTCCAGAGCTAACATGACTGGAGAAGGAATTCTGGGAGTTGAAGTCCACAAGTCTTAAAACTGTCAAGTTTGAAGACCCCTGGAATAGAATAATAATAGAATTGGAAAAGAGAATTGGAGGTCTTCAAGTCCAAACCCCTGCTCAAGCAGCAGACCCTACACCATGGGTGTCAAACTCCCTGGGCTGCCAGTTTGACATCATCCTGAACAAATGGTTGTCCAATATTTTCTAAAGTGATGGGGCACCACAACTTCTGAAGGCAAGCTTTTCCATTGATTAGTTGTTCTCAGTGTCAATTCTCACTGATTAATGATGTAAAATGGGAGGGGCTATACCAGATATGTGGAGAGGGCCAAGATACTGTTTTATTTCCTTTGATCTTTTTGAAAAGAGGATTAATATAATTGTATCTTGAGATAGCTTTTTTGGGTGTAACACTCTACCTTAAATGAAAATAAACCCTCTTATCGTGTTTGACAACTGTATTTGCCAAAAATAAAGGAAAGAGTTCAGACATCCCCTTGGTGTCCTAAGTTTTAAGCATCTCACCAAGCTTTGGGGTTATCTAAAAAGAATGGAAGAACTCAACATGTGATTCTGCTGGAATTGCATTCCAACATCCTACCATTTCTGTTTGTGGTTTAGAGCAGTAATCTAGTCACCAAGATAGTTTCAGGACTACCATCTTCAACCAGAATTGATCCATAGACTCAACAAAAAAACTGGTTAGCAGTTCCCCACCACCATCACAAAGAGAGGTGGGGTTGAGGTTAGGAGGAGAAGCTCCTCAGTTGTGGTCCTTATTTATAGGATAGTTTTTCATAAGGGCTTCACTTCGGCTAGCCACGCAGGGAATTTGTATCAATCTAGAATGATGTTCATGACCTGTAACTCTTAGTATTCCTTCTTACTGGCCATGCTGTCAGGAACAGTTAGAAGTAATAATTCAGCAACACCTGAAGAGTGATAGGTTCTCCATCCTTGTTTTATGCAAGAGGACATTTTGTCTGAGAAGTAAAGACTATAACTACCTTCCTTTCTTCCACAGAAGATGAGAACTATCAGCCTAATCTGCATCTCAGCACTTCTGATACTTGCCACTCCACCACCTTATTTTTTTTCTGAATGAATTTTTCTGAATTTTCAAGACCTCATTGATCAGGGGTCCCCAACCACCGGGCCCCAGACCGGTACAGGTCCGTGGAACATTTTCTACCGGGCCACCAGTTTGCTGGGCGCTGCTATCTTGTTTCGATGAGAAAGTGCTTCCGGGTGAGCTTTTCCGGTTGGAAAGCGGTGTTTGGGTCCTGAAGGAATCCTCGCGCCTTAGTTTCATCAAAGGGGGTGGTGGCTTCGAACAAAATTAAGGTGCGAGGATTCTTTCAGCACCCAAGGCAAGGCAAGCTGAGCAACTGTCCTGAAGCCGTCCCGAAGCCCATCGACAAAGGTACAAAGGAGGAGTTGAAGGTGGCAGGGAGAAGCGGGGGACGGCTGGCTGGCCGGTCGCTCGGCTCGCCTTGCCTTGTCATGCATGCTGATGCCGATACTGGGCCGCGGATCATTTTGTGATGCCAGTACCAGGCCGTGGCACAAAAAAGGTTGGGGGCCACTGTCGTTGATGATCCAAACTCCATCAAGGACCTTGGAATACTCATCTCTAATGATCTAAGTGCTAAAGCCCACTGTAATTACACAGCCAAAAAGGCATTAAGAGTTGTTAACCTAATCTTACATAGCTTTTTCTGTGGTAATATCACACTACTAACTAGGGCATACAAAACATTTGCTAGACCAAAACTCAAATACAGCTCATCAGTCTGGAACCCACATTATGTATCTGATATCAGCACAGTTGAGAAAGTCCAGAAATATTTCACAAGAAGAGTTCTCCACTCCTCTACTCGTTGCAGAATACCTTATGCCACCAGACTTGAAATTCTAGACCTAGAAAACCTTGAATTACGCCGTCTTCGGTCTGATCTAAGTATGGTATATAAAATCATACATTGCAATGACTTACTTGTCAATGAATACTTCAGCTTCAACCATAACAACACAAGAGCACACGATAGATCCAAACTCAAGATTAACCACACCAAACTTGATTGCAGGAAATAAAATTTCAGCAACAGAGTGGACAATGTCTAGAATATTCTACCTGACTCTGTGGTTTCTTCCCCAAATCCCAAAAACTTTAATCTTAGACTGTCTACTATTGACCTCACCCCTCTCCTTAGAGGTCTATAGGGGACGTGCATAAGCACACCAATGTACCTACCATCCCTATCCTATTGTTTCTTTTATTTTTCTTATATGTATCCCTGTATTCATAACTATGTTTATACTTATACTTATTATCTTGTAAGTGATTGACAAATCAAATAAAATAAATAAAAACTAAATAAATACCACGTGGGAATCACAATGCTGAAATGACACAGCTCACCTTTGACAAATCCAGTGATGACCATAATGAACCAACCATGGTGGTAATGGTGGTGGGCATGATGAACACCAGCAGCGATCTTGCGAACTCGGACTACCTCTTTCATCGCCACAAAAATCAGTTTGACTGGCAGGAAGCTGACACACTTGTAAAATAAGTTCAACGGACAATAGAAGATTAGGTACCTGGAAAGCAATGCAGAATTAAAAAGTGATACTGGTCATTGGGTTTAAAGAGTTTTGACATCAACATAAAAAAAAGGAAGTGAGAGAAGAAATATGTTTCAGCCTTTCATGATGGAGACTCTATTGTAGGCCTTAAAAGGGCAATTTTTGAGAAGATGACAGCAGGAAAAAAAACAAATTGCTATTTTTTTAGGGAGTTCCATGCCTTATCTTCTTGTTTGTACAGGTAATTTTTTAAATTGATTTACCAATTAAACTTTGCCTCTCTTATCATCTAGCAAATGTTTTGGTAATGAATATTTAATCATTGAATAATATATGTTTAATTTACGTTGACCTGTTAGATTCCCCACTCTACAAAGGGTGGGCATGTATGTGTGGCAGTAGAGAAAATAACAACTTGTGCATCTTGAAATCATCATATGTGACACATACATTTGAATTGGATATCATTAGGCACTATATAATTGTATCATTGTGTGCTGATGTCAGGATCTACATGTTATCATTTTAAAACACCATGGCTTGTAAAATACATCTACACTCCATCTTCAATCATATGTCTACCTGTCCATCTCTCCATCCATGTATCTTTTAGCATCATCCATCTATCTTTAGATGATTAGCAAAGATGACGGATGGATGGATGAATGAATATGGTAGATAGATAGATAGATAGATAGATAGATAGATAGATAGATAGATAG